TTCATGGGTAAGAACCTCACTTCTTCAGATGCAAGTAGAAGAAGTGAGGTTCTTACCCACGAAAGCTTATGCTCCCAATACTTCTGTTAGTCTCAAAGGTGCCACAGGACCCTCTGTTGCTTAATACTGAAACAGTGCAAGTCTCAGTGATTTAAGCAGGAATTGGATTGATAGTGAAACTTACAAAGGCAGCTGACTGAACAGCTATGGCTCTTAACAAGCATCTTAACTGTCAATTAGCCAGTTATTGGGGTAACTGGTTTTATGAATGAATATTGTTTCATTCATAAAACTTTACTTATGAAGTTACATTAAATTTAAATTAATGGAGATATCCTATCTCCTAGAACTGGAAGGGACCTTGAAAGGTCATTGAGTCCAACCCCCTGCCTTCACTAGCAGGACCAAGTACTGATTTTGCCCCAGATCCCCAAGTGGCCCCCTCAAGGATTGAACTCACAACCCTAGGTTTAGGAGGCCAATGCTCAAACCACTGAGCTATCCCCCCCCCCCCCAATTAAAAACAATTTCATTCATCAGTTCTACAACAGTCAGCACCTAGCATGCAGCCCTGGCCCATTGCTTTGGATCCTGGTGCCTTTCTACAGTACCCTGGACTTCCCCAGCCTCCCTCAACAACAGGTGAGGTGGCTTTACACCCTGCCCAGCCCAGAAGGGGTTCCCAGAAAGACCAAAACGAAGTGCCGGGGCAAATGAACTATTGTTTTTTGTGGGATAATGAGGCTCATCATCGCTTGAAAAAGATACAGATTCAGGCCCCTCTATTCCCGAAAGCTTCTGCCCCTCACAAAGCTGATTACTGGGAGGATATTCCCCCCATGTATTGCTCTAGACCATGCCCACCCCCAGCGGCAGCATTACCAATTGTGGTGAACCCGGTACCCTCCTCAACGGAGCCCGGGACAGCAGGTCTACCGAGACAGATCCCACCAACAAAGATTGAGGACGCCACAATGCAGATCCCAAGGCCACGGACACACAGTCCACGGTCAGGCTTATTTTTATTTCCCAGTCAGCCCCGGACATCAAAAAGCGGTTGCAGCAGCTCAAGGGCGCTGAAGGAAAATCCCTGGAGGAACTGGTAAGCGTGGCCACCCAAGTATATCAAAAGACCAAACAGTTGAAAATGCTAGCAGCCCTTGTAAACACTGAAAATAAAAAACAGGGAGGGCGGCAGGAACCCCCCAAGTGGCAACCAAAATCGAATTATGGAAGGACCCCAAGTCACGCCAATGACATATGTAACTACTGTAAGCAGCTTGGCCACTGGAAGAGAGAGTGTCCAAACCAACCTACTGGACGACAAACCCCGTCGCCCAGACCGACCTCAACAACAAATGGCTGTGACAAGAACAGACGCTATTGATAATGAGGAATGACGGTAACCAGGGGATCCTCTTGTCACCTATTCAAATGATTTTACCACGTATGTTTGTTCCTTCACAGACCCCCAGGTTCGCCTAACATTGGGAGGAACCACCTATTCTTGTCTTTTGAATTCAGGGGCTGCACTTTCTACTGTTACTGCCAAGCCGGAGAGAGGAAGCCTCACGAATAAGAGCATTCCGGTAATGAATATAGGCAAAAAGCCATTTGACTGTTCTGTATTACAGAAGGCTGCTGTAAAAATTTCTGGTGTCTCCGCCTCCCATGCCTTTCTGTTAGCTCCAGATTCCCCAGTTAACCTCTTAGGCAGAGATCTGTTGTGTAAACTACGTGCTCAAATTTTCTTTTCAGATGACAAAATCATTCTTCGGTTGCCTCAAACCCAACTTCCCCAGCTGTGTGCTGTTCTGACTCAAGTTTCAAAGAACCCAATCCTGCCTGCGGACCCGATTCTACCAGAGCAACTCAGACAGGAGGTAAACATCTCCCTGTGGGGCACTTCAAGGGCAGACTTGGGTACTCTCCAGACAGAGCCAGTGCATATAACCCTGATGCCAGGCATTAAAATTCCTCAGATTTATCAGTATCCCATCCCCCAAAAAGCTCTGTTTGGCCTCCGGAGTCTTATCACCACATTCCTGCGGTTGGGAGTGCTGGTTCACACCAAGTCTCTTTTCAATACTCTCATTCTGCCAGTCAAAAAACCTGACATAAACTCAAAGGGAAAACCGGTATACCAATTTGTCCAGGACTTACGTGCAGTAAATAAGGTTGTTCAAGCTAAACACAATGTGGTGCCTAACCCTCACACAATCCTGACTGCCATTCCAGCAGGTACTGCTTGTTATTCAGTAATAGACTTGTGTAATGCTTTTTTTTAGTATTCCTCTAGATAAGAACAGCTGGGGCCACGCTTACCAATTCAATTTGAGTCCCTACCCGCTGATGTTCCTGCCCACTGGATCGCTCCAGGAGACTGGGTCTATGTAAAAGAATGGAAACACAAGCCTCTCCAACCCTGGTGGGCGGGACCTTTCCAAGTCCTTCTTACCTCTCACACCGCCATTCAAGTGAAAGAGCGAAACACTTGGATACACCACACCTGAGTCAAGCTAGCCCCTAGGACGGGGCCAAAAGCAAACGACTTCGGACCTTGAGGGAGCACCGCCAGCTCTTCCCACCGCAACCCGGAAAAGCCAGAAGCAGACAATACCTGGAAAGCTAAACCTCTTGAGGGACTAAAGCTTCTGTTCCAGCAAACAAAATCCTAAAACTTTATAACTATGGGTTCTCAGACGGTGCTGCAGTGGCTATTGCTTTTGGGTCTGCCCCTTGTACAAGCTAGCCACTAAACCTCTTCAGTAAATAGCCACATTGGAACACTTATCTAATTGTTGGCTGTATCACAAAACCTGCTCTAAAAATGAAATAGGATTATGGGCTGTACCTGCAAATCTCTCTAAAGTACTCTCTTTACAGGTAGTACGAAAAACTAAATGGGCATGGGTTAAAAAATATCAATATGACAAATATAAAAAAAGGTCTAAAGTTTGGCATTATTACTGGGCAGCTAAGGGGGTCCCTCTTTTTAAAGTTCTTGGGATCGGGTATAACTTGCCCCTTTGTTTAAAAAATGCTAAAAAAAAAAGTGGGCTACCTTCCCCTGGAGGCCTGTGATCAAACCCTTCGGTTTAAGGTCAAAAATAAAACCCTTTACCCTTTAAATACCCCTAAAAATGCCCCCAAACCCCCTTGTCTCTTGCACATAGCCTTTACTGTAAAACCAACAGGCATTCATTATCAAGGGCAGTGGTTTCCCTTATTCCTCCCATTAGGCCCCATAAATAAAACACATATGCATTATATGAATATTTACTCTGGCATTCTGTTGCCCCACACATCCCTTGAAAGGACGTCTGGATGCCCGGAGTCCATGGGATCACTTGCAAGTTTCACAGCTAACATATTTGGAGTTACATATTGTGGAGCCATTTTAAACAATATGCATGCCCTAGAAGACTTAAATGTTTCCCATTGAAGGTGCCAGGACCGCCTAGTAAGTAACTTCTGGCGCTGGGATGAATGGGTAACCTAGCGCCATCAAGTTGCGGGTAATACCCTTACCCTCTATTTAGAAACCCCTGGCTTGTATTTTATCTGTGGCCACAGTGTCTACAAAGCTTTCCCTCCAGGTTGACAAGGTCGGTGTGGTGTGGCCCGGGTGTTACCAAATGTCCAAGTAAACAACACATTGAATTACAGCCAGATCCTCAACCTGGGCAGTTATTCCCATAAGTTTTTCACACACCCCCCCCCCGCATAAGGACTCGAGCAAAATGCCCCAACAATCCCCTAGTAGTCAGGCAAACGGGGTTTCACTCCTTTGTTCATGCGCTCATTCCTGGGTTGGGAGTAGCCAAGCTAAAAAAAGCAGTAGTAAATATTTCTGCAGAACTAAAAAAAGTAGCTAATGCATTAATAAACGCTTTCCAAAAGTTAAAACAAAAAATTAATAAGGTGGCAAAAATAGCTTTGCAAAATAAACGTGTGTTAAATGCTATGAATGCTGAATTAGGGAGGGCTTGTGCTCCCATCGGAAAAACATGTTGTTTCTATGTTAATCATTCTGGCTTAATTAAGCAGGATTTACAAGCCATTAAAAATGCTGCTGTTGTTTTCCATGCTGTATCTCTCAATCACACCTTTAGTTTTAAAAACCTCCTTCCAGACCTTGGGTCATGGTTTACGGGGCTCTTTCAAACAATTGTTAAATAGATTCTTTTCTTTCTTTTCTTTCTATATGTTATTTAAATAATAATACAATATGCCAAATCCCTGTGTAATGCTATAATCAAAAGCTCTGCTGTCCATAAAAAAACCCAGTATCTGTCCCTCCAGCTTAATTGCAAATTGTGTAACGGGCCTGACAATTTTTAAATTTGTCAGGCCCGAAGGGGGGACTGTAAAAGTTACTAGTGACCTCCCCCCCTTAACAGAGCAGTCGTTATGTCAGCCAGCGGCCATTAGGGGGAAGCAGACACCTTAAGAACACAGTAGCCTAAACTTTTCAACTGTCTTCCCTTCAAGGCCTTAAGGTATTTGGAGCTGGTCCCAAGCCGGTTTTCACTGACCAGATAGCAAAAGCACGGGTCTGACCACCACCAATCAAGTGTTAACACTGCAAGGACCGTTGTCTGAATGTGTATAAAAAATCTGTAAAATGTGTGTAAAACAGAGTCTTTGTACCAAGGTGCAAGGCTCTCCTTTCTTCTGCAGAATAAAGCAACTCTTCCTTATCCCTGTCTGGCTGTTATTGGCTCTCAGCTAGGTGAACCCAATATTTCGGTAACGGAGGGGCTCTGAAACATCCAGCCCTGTCCTAGAACAGTCAGAGGAACGTTAAGGTTTGTTCTCCCTTTAAGGAGTCAATGTGCAACAGTTGATTACTTTCCCTGGTGTCACCAAACAGTTCAGTTCAAACACAGCCCTGGATCGGTCTCTTTCAGAGTCCAGTGAACCTTTGAACTGGATTCTTCTGATGGTGACCTCCAGACAAAAGTCTATTTCCAGCTGTGAGGCAGGTGACAGGGGGTCTGTCTTGAAGGCAGCGACTTGCTGCTTCCTCCCCTGTGGGGGGTGGGTCAGCTAAAATGCAAATCGTTTAGTCCTCCCCCCTCTGGTGCAATTGATGGGGTCTCTCCCCCCTGCTTTGCTTGATGGGTCTGTGTAAGCGAGATGTAAATACATTGTCATGGTCTTTCAAAGTCCTATGGCAGTAACTCCCAGGGGGTTTGAAATTACATTCCTTTGTCTAGGGCGGGGTGTCCCCAGCTGCTCCAGGCTCTGGGCTGCCTCTCTAGGACCAAGACCCATCACCCTATGTCCCTGTTGATACTGAGGACTTTCTGGAACAATCCCCAGTCTCCATAGACACCCCCCTTCTCCCTGCTGCCCGGGACCTGGACGTCTCCTTTCTGCTCATTGACATGGTGGCTTCTATGCATCACGCTGCCTTAAAGCTGAGAGAAGCAGCCTGTGCCCATGCAGGGCCGGCTCCAGGCACCAGCAAAGGAAGCAGGCCAATGGAAAGGGGCCAGGCCTTCGGTGGCAATTAGGCGGCGGGTCCCTCAGTCCT